TAGTTTTGGAGTATTTATTAATTTAGCTGCGGCAGTTGATAGGAAATAATGATCCAGGTACAACAAACTTTCCCGGGAAGTTCGCGCACAAACAGTTGTTTGAAATTAAACGATATAACAAAACAAATTAATTAAGACACAAGAAAATACAATTATATGTAAATTTAAATTTAGAAAGTAAACGGTGTGTACGGCGACAGTCGGCCGCGGCTGGAGAGTACGGTAACTTGAGCGCCACCAGAAGATTCAAACACCCTGTTCTTGGCCAAGGTCGGCGGTTTCGGAACGGTCTCGGAAGTCTCAGGTAGTCAGATGAAGGAAACGGCAATTCCAGGTCGGACACTGGCGAATAATCTAAAACAGAATTGCGGCACACGGAAACGGTCGCGATTTCCCAAAGCGGGAACGAAAACTTAAATATCGGTATCTAGTGGGATACAAAACCAAGGAAAGCAACCCCCCTTTACAATTAATAGCATGAAAATATCACGCGTTTACCTTGAAATTAAACGATACCTAAAACCTGTTTAATTAATTACTCGATCCCCTGTTTATCCTAAAAATCTGAGATAAGCCAAGTAAACGCAGTTAGTTTGGCACTAAACACAATCTAATCAGATGAGGTTTTCTGCAACACACTTAATTAACTACGGTTGATTATACTCAACTAAATGGTCGGACTGAAATTTAAAATCCGGTAGTTCACCGATCGCGTCCCGGAATCCTAGGATCAAGCGACAGGTGACTGTATCAAGTTGATCTACGTGTAAATGAGCGATCTTGCCGGTCTGTATCATAGTTTTAAATTAAAACAGGGAAACTGAAATCGGCTAATTCTAATACCTAATTAACGAAGCTGGAATCTTAAAATATTATCCTGCTTCCCCATGCCGAGGGCTGTCTGATGCTGCAGAAATTATTGACATATCTCTACGGGAACAGTTAGAAACTTTACAATGATGTTCGGCAGCTGGTTTTCTTATCAGCGGTTAAAACGGCTCTACAAATGAAAACATTACTTTTACCTTCTATTTCTCACTCCTAGAAGAAATAAGTAAATTTGGAAGCGCATTTACTCGTCTATGTATACCGGGTGTTCATCAAAGCTGGTAGCTTCCATAAATGTTGTAACGGAAGCTTGGTAAATTTTTCAAGTTTTGTGGATTTCAAAATTATATTCGGGTAGAAGTGCGTATCGATGATTCAGATTTCTGGGAAGTTGTAGTTTTCATTAAAAGTAACAAACATTTTTTTTCTGATGTAATTAAGTTTCAAATAGCGTATAGTATAAGATGAGTTATTGGTTTTGGACTTCCTATTTTGGGCGAGTTAACGATTAGTACGTGATTTAAAAAAGGTCACCGGTTAAAAGACGCAATAGATTCTAAGAAAAATATGTAATAAAACAGCGAGGCTAAAAAATTATGAGTTTGTTTATTTCCGGAAACTCGATGGGAGCGTTAATTACGGGCGTTGGTTTACTCGCGATAAAAAAACCAAAATGATCAGAAATTTAAGGGGCTTTTTGCGTAGATATTCACGCGAAGCGTGGATACCGTCGCGGAAAACGCGGCCACCACTTATAAAGTTTTTTCGTAGATATTCGCACGGGCGAATGTCGTCGCGGAAAATGCGGCTAAGGGCCATTTAAGTAAAAAGGTCCAAACCAAATAAAATTTGTTGCGCGTATTAATTTAAAATCGTATTTTTTAACCAAGAACCAGTTGGTCGTTCTGGAATAGTGAATTGTTCGGAAAGTATTAATCATTGAGTAACTGCAGTTTAGTTTAACGTGCGATTGAAAGACTTCCGTTCAGAAATTATTATACCTAAAGTACGAAAAGCGCGCTAAGAAATTGTTGTTCAATTGGGATTACGCGATTGGATTTAATAGGCGAAGATTGAGAATAATCTAAATCATGCTCCACTACAATACCCACCATCAAAAAAGGGGAAGAATACTACTGTCTAAATTGTAAGTTATTTTTATGAAAAGTTATTTACCTAGAAATTTATTTATATTAAATTTTCATTTTGTCATTTTATAATTGTTTTTTGCCGAATGGTTTTATATAGATAGGATAAATATAAGTCAGAAGTTAGAAGAATATTCATTGCTGTAGGTAATTAAATTAAGTGTTATATTAAGTAAATTTAAATATTAGGTATTCAGATTCAGGATAGATGTAAGTAATTGAGTAATTAAGATTTAATATAAAAAAGGAAATCAATTGTGAGTGCAGTGGAATTTGGATTTATTTTATTTTTTTCACTTATAATTGCACAAGAGGTTTGTATTTTAGCGAGTAAATTTGGGTTGTTTAGGTAATGAAAATCTGTTGCCTAGCAATTAGACGAGAAAAACTGTCAACTAATAAAAATGCGACACCGAAGGTGGAGCATTTTTAGGTTGACAGTTTTTAGAGTTCAATTGCTAAAAGGCAACAGATTTGAATTGCAACAACACAAATTTACTCGGTTTAAATACAAACCTCGAGTGTAATTCGGCAGGACAATTTAACGAACAAGAAATTCACCAAACTAATCAATTATTGACAGACGTCATCTAGTCATATGGGACAGGATAATACGATATTTGTTTCGAAAATGAATAAGTGAAAAAACCACTAGTGCATTTGTCGCTGGAAAAGTTGCAGGTAACTTTTGCCGCCGTCAAAGTGACAATTGCACTGCGGCTTATGCGATTTTTTATACATGAGTTGAATTGTCAATATAATCGGTTTATTTATGTAGATTTATTTTTTTATCAATCAGAAAAGTGAGACGGTAATAGTAGGGCTATTACAATGTACGGTGCGTTTATTAATTCTGATCGAATTCGTGTACAAAAACGGGTGCTTCGTTACACAGATGTATCGGTCTATCGAATTTTCAAGTGAAATATTGGTCGAAATAACGTTGATTGGGTTCAGACTCGGTTCAGGAAGACCGGATAATGCAAGAACTGAGGAAACCAAAGGACTGGAGGATTTACTGCTGTCTGATCGAAGAATGAAAATCCCACTGTTTACAAAAGAACCAGATTTAGCACAATGCGACTTTTGATCCTCCTGGAAAAAGTTTTGCGGGCTTTTATGTATATGACGGTAATCTACCGCCCACAGGCCCCCATGAAGGTTAGATAGAAAAACACCCTCGTATCTGTACAAACCATGGCGTACAAACGACGACCAATTTCTCTTGTACCGTTCGCTGCAATTATGTTCTCAATAAGGTGATTTCAGGAGTGATTTTTTAGGTGTAGGGACGTGAGACACAATCGGGAAAGGAATTGAATAAAAGAGTTTTGTGCGTAAGAAAAGACAAGAACAAATGAATATTTTACGCGCACAACAAGAGGACAGGAAAAAAACATTCAGTGCACCAAAAAAATCTGGCATAATAAATACAAGAAATTGCGAGGAACTCTCCATCTTAGGTTACTGTCAACTGAAAAGAAAGAAACCTAATTAAACGGATGTTAATTCAGATGTAGATATACAGTGTGACATATTTTCTCTGTGAGGTGGGGTCATTTAATCTGTTGCTACTTTCCGAGACAAATTAATCTGCCTTGAATTTTTTTTCGATTTTAGGCATCTTGGGTACATTTTTCATTGGTGAACTTTTCCTAGGAGCATCAGCTGTTAATATTTTTTGTATTCAAGATACCTACTATCGGAGTAAAACTTTAGAAGTTTACACTAAAACATCTCCTCAACCAATTTGTATTAAATAAAGCGTTATTTAATAGTCACCTATTTCTATGTGCGTGTTCATAATTTTACAAATTTTGTTTGACTTGGAAAATACTATAACGAAACATGAACGCAAAAAAAAGTATACGAGAGTGAAAGAATATACGTTTACGGATAAGTCGATATATTTTTATCTATTTTTGTACATTTACGCTTATTATAAGAGACACTTGGAAAATTGTTATGAGTCTAAACGCAAACGATATTATGTTGAACCATAATCGCTCCTAAAAATTGTTATGGGCTGGAGAGATTGAAATTCAAATTGACACATAATTCAATTGCAATCTGAGATTACAAAAATTTATTATCAATCAAAAGAAACACAAGTACACCGTCCTGTAATAACAATTCTAAGGCGAGATATAGGCCTTGTGTACACAACCCGTTCACAGAACGGACATAAACGAGTAAACTAATTCAAGAGATCTCAAGAGAAAAAAGTAGTACCCACGTCTGTCCGAGCAATACCCAAATTGGTCTGTTCAAGGAAACCCCAGAACTTGAACTTGACACAAAAAGACTGAGTACGTCTTCCATCTCAACTGGAAACAAACACGCGTATAAAATTTCGCGTAAGATGAGTTACCCTCCACTTATTTAAGCAATCATCACCTCCACTTCACCAATCCGCAGCGGTGTGAAACGATGAAAAACGAACCGCACCCGCACTGTTGTCATGTAATAGAATAAAACTTCCGACATACGAGGAGTAGTTAACGTAGACCATATTACCCTCACATTACCTGAAATCCTTATTGCTTGGTATACAAATTAAGCGGGACCCTTTCGATGGACTGTATATCACTCAAACCATTGTGGCTTCTATTACGATTGTGAACTACTGTTTTTCACTGAGGATTGGCTAGAACAAATCAGTATGGATGTTATTGGAATGGATGTAGATTATATAAAATCAAAGAAATTGTTTGGTTGTTTTTTGTATTTTTTTATATCCGCATTTTAGTGGTAGTAGTTATAATGAACCCCTATGAACCCACCATGCCAAGAATAAATGAATCTCAAAAGCGAATAGTTTCGCAATAACTTAATAAATTTGCGGTTTACATTTGTTTTTCAACTGAAGGTATTGAAAAACACTATGCAAACTGGAATGAAGTTGAATTAATATTTGCTGGATGCGAAACAAAGTGAATAAGTCACCCTAGGACGTCTTTAGGCGAACAATGCGATTTTGCCTCACGGGTAATTTTTCGATTGTTACTTTTCGAAGGAGCACCATCAGATCATACTTGACTCTTTTATACTAATCGTCGATTGTATACGGGACGTGCGAACCGCTGCAGCCTCTTGTTCCATATATTTCGGATTAACTGAAGGGTTGATTGATAGATGGTCTGCCAGATGGTCGCCGGAAGTGCGCGTGCACTTGACACTTCCGGCCAACCCTTCTACTCGCTTAATGAAGTGGCGTACTGTTATATACTGCAGTAACGGCGCCGTAAGTCCATCGCGACGCCTATACACCCCCGCCATCAGCATCCCTTTTAATTGCGTTACAGCCTGTAAACGGCAAAGTGCTTTCCGTCCTCAAATGCAAATTTTAACCTTGTTAAGCCCACGGCCTAGCGAGTTTAAATTATCAATGGTTAATTAATCTTCAATTTATTCACTTTGTGTAATGAATTTAACACTCAATTTAGCGGTTATTAATCAAAGTTCTAATGGAGGTTGTTAGGAACACTAATCAAGGAGTATATAAAGACAACCTTAGCTATACGCACGCTGTTTCCACCCAACATCTGCCATCTCTCATTGCCTAAACTCTGAATTACGTTGTTAACCCATCCATCGCTTCACCTGATTTTCTTGTAATTAAAACATTACTTGTTAAACTTGCTACATTTTAATTTCCGGTTAAAGACACATTTTCCTCTCTAACATAAAAACATCAACCTTTCGAGAAAAAGGGATATTAATATTTTCAATTAAAATTAGTTCCCCATCAAAAGCCGCTAATTCCGATACTCATTTCATCGATCCATAAACAGGTTGGTGCCTATAAAATTCTTGCAGATTTAATCGTTTCACTGTGAGTGTTGTGTAATGTATGATTTCCGTGTAAATTATGGATGTAGACTAGAATATTACGGTGACCAGTAATTAACGGGGAATTTAACGAGGATTCGCTTGCAGTTGAATTTTCCCGATGATTACACATTATTTAAAATCACGTAGGATTGTCGTGCAAATGCGCACTTTTTGTTCGCCATGAGATCAGTGATTTTGCTTTCTTCAAGCCCTCAGTCGTGCTTCCATATACCTCACTATTAATCTTGGTCCCTTTTGCCATATATTCAATAACCAAAAAGTTCTGTCCCAATAGCTGCTATTATTTTTCCTGACGAAGACTGGGATTTTACCTTTTTAAGGATGGAGAGCAGTTGTGGACCAACTGCAATGATTCCTGCTTTATGTAAGGGTTTCAGTTTCCTGTGACAATAATCGAAAAGTCACGTTCGCAAAATGTCGAAATGCTCTTAGCTTTCCCCCCATATTCTGCTCCGGAGTGAGGAATCCATCGAGCAGACACTTTTTTCATGCCCAAATATTAAGCTTTCGGACAGCAGTAACTCTTCAACAAGCCTTACTTATAGCTTCCTCCGTTATTGCTGACATGCTGACAAGATAGACCAATGTTGTGGAGCCGTAAGGAATTACGTCAAAGTACACACTATACAGCCAAGTAAATTGTTTGTGTGCGTCATCACTATGACTAGGTAGATAACTTATCAACAGAAGTAATCGGAACTGATTTACAAAAAGCGCATTTCCACATTAATAGATAGTCTTTTTTCTGAAAAAATTAGTCATCCCAGACAAATTCGTTTCAGCCATTTGAGTAAAATGATGAACCGCAATTTGAAAAGCACCTTCCCCTAAATTGTGGGAAAAATCCACCTGTAACTAAAAAGGTTGGGTTTGCGCATACACAATTCTTTTTTTGACGTATGGATGCCAGTTATCTTCAATTAAAATTTTAGAAAAAGTGATCGACCAATATAAAAAGTTTTACCTGCGCATGCGCAATCTATTTTTTCACACGTGATTTCAATTCACTTCTAATTAAAAAAATTATCCACAAATATGAAAGTTATGTGCTGAACCATCTTTTTTACACATGTCAATTTGATTCTATACGAAACATCTTCTGTTAAGAAAATAAACATTGGTCCATAAATAAAAAAAATGTTACGTTTTCGCTTGCGTAGTCCTTTTTAACACGTGCATATAATAAACTAGCAGACTCGGCAAGACTGGAACCGAAATTTCATGAAATTGTGACATGTCCAAAACGGCGATCACAATAGCAACAAAAAGATGCTCATAGCTACACTGAAACCCAAAGTTAGACACCCATTTCACTTTGAACACACTGTATAAAGCTTCACGGGCACTTAGCAGACAAATTTAGTCTTTTCCGGGCCAGGAAGGGAATAAAAGACTCGGAAAAGGCCACATAAGTGCCTTGAAAACATTTTTTTCTCGTTTTAGATTGCATTTTTGGTCATTTAGACATTTAAGAGCCTTTTGTCCCTTTCTACAGGATTGCTTCACCTTTTGTAAGCGCCTGATTTCATTTCCTGAGCTTTATATAGCGCTCTTACGAAGCATTCTATCTCCCTCAGAGAGTACTTTCAAAGTAGATAGTTTTGTAGACCCTTCACAAAGCATTCCGGGCCCTTTATCTTTTGTACAGTCCCTATCTAGGAGTATCCTTGGACCTTTCCAGCACTTGGCTTTCCTAGCTACGGAAAAACACATAGGTACCTGCAGTTCTAGGTAGGGTCTAAGAAGCTTTTTAAAGCTTATTTACTAATTACTAAAACAATCAATGTACTTCCCGTGACTTTTTGGTCCAAATCAGGTCTTTCTAGACTTTCGCCGTTTCGAAGATTTCTACTCTCCTTCAGTGCTGTCCGGGTGCACCTATCTGTGCAAAGGGTTTAGGTTAGCTACCTAGGTAGCCCTTAAAAGAAAGAGGTCCAATTTCTTTGGATTCTTTCCTTTATTCGGGCTCATTCAAGTATTCTCCTTGGTTTCTTAGAATATTTTAGATTCTCTTGCTACCTCGGACAATCTTAAGCTGCTTTATCTTGTTCTTGAATTCGAATTCTTAGGATTCTTTGGATTGTTACGTTTACTCGAATCCTACCGATCCTTTGTATTCTTGAAATTGTTCAGACTCTTCCAATATTTCGGATTTTACATTTTAAATGTACTGATCTTTCAGATTCTTCATATTAAAACAAGTAGAAAATTGGTAACATCCCTGTATGCTGTTGACCTGTTACGAACATACGGGTTCCATAACCGTACGTCAACTGTACCTGAATCATGTCAAATCCCTATTAAAATTCTTCTCAAGCACTTCTAAAGCGCACAAATTTCCTTCATATTCCCTTAAAGCCTACTAAATGTCTTAAATTTTTTTTTGTTCAATGTATACATACATCTCTGAATGCTAAACAAAAATTTAATCCAACCAAAGGAATGGTATTGCTGAAATCAAATGCAAATTTACGGATCAATGAAAGAAAATAACCAAACACCTTTCTCATATCAGATCATATTGTCCTGCTTCTTAGCGCACTGTAAGATATAAACGTAGGGCACTTAAGCATCTGCAAGTCTTTGAATAACTGTCTATATGAATATTAAAATTACTTCAAGCAAAATTAATATTCAAATTTCTAAAAATATTCACTTTATACAAATCAAAAATTTAAAATAACTTGCAGTTACAGATGCTGTGCTTTGATGGCACAGTTGACTTTTTGCACCATCCTGGTAACGCTTTCTTCGTGATGAATGCAAGGTTGGGTGAAAAAAATCGCGTATGAATCGTGAATCCAAGCAGACCGGGTTCAATTTCGCGAAAGTAACATTCGAAATCGTGATTAAGAACAGGAATAATAAGCCAATGTTCCGTTGTGTTGATATTAATTTTTCCCAACTTATAACTAGATTTCGTTGCGGGCAAAATGCACCGCATAATTGTCTTTAAATTCCCTGCCGTGTACAAAATTTTTATCGCACACTGCGTTGTCCAATGATATCACTCAACTTTGAGGAACTTTTAACCAGCCGTTACATTGGGCGATCCGAAACAAAAACTTTGTTTATTATAATGAATTTTCATGTGAGCCGGCCCGTGTGGCGCAGTTCAGTTAAAATTGAACTCTGGTGCTAAAGGTTCGTGGTTCGAATCCGGATTCGGGCATGGATATTTGTAAATGTATAGTGGGTTGTGTTGGTAGAGCAGCCTTGGCTGAAACCCACTGGCGCACCCAAAAATAAAAGCAAAATTAAACAAATGAAAATAAATAATCCCTTTAGTATTTGAAGATCCCTTCTGCAGCTCGAAATTTTCCTGCTCGTAAGATTTGTTACGAATTAAGCTAAAACTCCCGCATCAACGCAAAACCAACCTTGTAACCTGTAAGTAGCTCGCACTTTGTAACTACTCTGGTTTTGATTAACGCTTCTTAACGACCCGAATAGAAAAATAGTATCAGTTTTATCTCGAAAATGCACAACTTTGTGGAAAATGCACGTGTTGCTATCGCTTTCCATATCCAGACATACTTTTGTTCACGTCCGCTATGAAGCGGTATATGGTTAAATTTTCGTATATATGCATATATACAAATTCAAGACAAAATTTTTGAAAACGGCTAAGCGACAACCTGTTACATTCTATTCAAAATTGTGTAATACAGACGGTTTTCATAATATTATTTTGACTTTGTACATTTTGACTGAATAAAAGCCTTTTGAAAACTTGCAGTTTTATGGTATTTGCAAATTAAAAGGCATCAAAAGGAGAAATAATTCGTTTAAAAAATGTAGTATTCGATATGGTCATGGACTATGGCTAATTGTAATGAAAAGCGGTGGTCACATTTTTTTTAAACAGAAGATTCGCTCAGTGAAAAGTGAAAATAAAGATTCTGCTGCTGAATCAAATGTGGGTGAGATTTAGATAACTCCAAACATAGCTTTGAGTTCTACTTAAGGAAGTAGGTAATCGTTGATTATGGAGATTGCTCTGCTGATAGAGGTGAAGTAATTTTCTGTTCTGGCAATCAATTTTAAGTATAATTTAGATGTATCTAGCACGCGAGCGACGAAAAGAATTCATGTAATTGCTAATTAAAAAAGTTTTCAGAACAAAATTTGTCTGTGCTCGATGGCGGAACTCGCGAAGCCAATGACTAATGAGAGAAAAGAAATTGGCAACCTATTGTCTCCCTTAAAATCAAATGGTTGAAGTCAAGTATATTTAATTCAATTACCTGTCGTTTATATTTTAGACGTCGACATTGAAGAATTTAAATTAAACCGTGAATTGCGTCATTCAGAAATTGCTTAAATGGAGACTCCCAACAAATTTTGTATTACCCAAATTAAAGAGATTTGCTAGTTCAATTGGTTGATTTAATTTATTTCCTCTTTTTTCGAATTTACAAATTTGCATTTACGGTGGAAATAAAAGTTCTCCTTTTTCAAATGAAATACATAAAAATTTCCAATTATGTTTTTTCGATAGACGCACATTCGGAGTAAAAAAAACTCCTCAATTTAAATTAGAAACATTCAATTTAGTTGACGAAAAGCGCCTAAATATTATTTCAAAATAATATTCGTAATACGGCCGGGTTGTAGACGTTTCGTCTCTATATAAAGGAAGCGAATTGAGGAGATACGCGATAAACGGTAAAAAGCAGTAAAGAGCGCGATTCTCGACTGCTATATAAGTGTGAGAATTTGCACAGGCGCTGCGCGTCCAACCGGAAAATTCGTTTGTGGAGGAAAATGGAGCCGGGTTTTTCTGAAGACAAATGATGTGGGGTGATGTATCCATACTAATGCGTTGTTTCTCTTCTAACATAAAACTCACTGAATTGACAAACTTGTAGATTCCCTCTTTAGTCTAACAAAACAGTACGGGACAGAAATATATACACGTCTCGGCTGAAGTATTCACTCCTCTCTTTCTGTAGAAGATCCTTTACGTCTAATAGAGCGAACGGGGATCATTGTTAGATTAACCGTGGAAAATAATGGTTATTTTCATTCTATTACGGGTATTAAACGTTTTATTAGAGGGTAAATGGTCAAAAGACTGACTGGGAAACGTACATGTGGCGTTAATGTCGTTTATTCAGACTTTAGTTTTAGGTAATTATGTTTGCTTCTAATTCCTCTTCTAAACATTACATTACACTTTGTGAATACATATTAGGTACCTAAATGATTTACTTTAATGAACTTTTGTTAACTTAAACAATAAAGGCAAATAATAAACTCCTCTAATTACTTTTATATGCACTTATTTTCCATTGTACTAAATTTTAAATGAACCCCCAAGGTTTTTTAAATTTTCCTTATTTCTTGCGTTGAAAAGAATGCGATGAGAATTGGAGGGAAGCTTGAAGAACCTCGAAAGGAACTTATCTGCAAATTGAGAGAAACTTGGGAGGAATAGGAGGAGAACGCATGAGAAAAATGTTAGAAGAACTTATTGGAAAGTTTAAAGAAACATGAGTGGAAATTTTCACTTGATACTGAGGAGAATGTAAGAACCTGAAAACTAAAACTTCAGAAGAACTTAAGGAATTGAGCAGGTTTGAGAGAAACAGGAAAGGGAATTTGAGAGGTACTCGAGTAGAACTTGAAGAGAATTTGAAAGGAAAATGAAGAGATATTGACAATAAGAATTTGAATAGAAACTTGAGAGAAATTGACAGGGACTTGAGAAATACTCGAGAAGAATTTAAAAGAACCTAGAGCGCATAACGGATATAACATACCATTTTTGTTTTTTGTTCTCACAATACGAAGAATCTACTGAACATGCAAAAATTGAAGAAACGGACGAATCCGAAGAATCTGAAACATCCAATGGAATGGAAGAATTCGCAAAATTCTGGAAAAACTCATATTCACAAAGTCAAACGAATCGGAAAGATCAGATGAATATAATACCTGAAGCACCCGAAATATATGGAGGATTTTGATAGTCCGAAAAATGTGTTAGTACATAAATAGGAAAAAATCAAATTTGTATATAATTCTGTTAATAAACAGAAAACGATTTGGCAATTGGTGCATAGACAAGCAGAATCTATAAACAACGGTAGGTACCAGAAATAAAGTGCGTTCGAGATAAGAGGGTCACCTCAATATCTCCTTTATTTGGCACGATACGCAAATGTGTCAAGTATAATTTTATACGTGACATTACGATCTGTCCGATCGCTTATTGAATCTTTCAGTATCACTTCCGGTTTGACCGGAAATCGATTCAAGGTTTGTTTTTCAAATGTAATACCTATATTTTTTTAATTATTTGAAAAGAGCTTTACGACAACATATTTTTGAAATTCGAAGACGAGTTTCAAAAACACTTAAGTAATATTAAAAGTGAATTTGCAACCCATTCGGTTAAACGGAACATTGTTAAAAAATAAAACAAAAACAATACGCAATAACTATTCTCACACAATTAAATGTATTTCCAATCTTCTGAAATATATGCAAATTTGTGTGTAAATTCGAAAGGGTGTAACGGGTGACACATAAAATTTGCATACCATTTGAAATTTCGTGCAAAGACTTACAATCACTTTTTTCTACGAAAGTGAGGAAAGTCTTGTTTTCTGAGAAAAAAGTAGCCTTTGAAAGTAGGGTTTTGTCGCACTAGTGTGGAAAAATTTTTCCACACTTATTTTCCACACTCTTAAGTAAAAACAAAGATACCTTTTTTTTATTTTAATGCCACAATTTACAATTACAGCTACTTCTGGCTAGTAATATTTAAATTAATGGTAAATGATGAACTGTTACTTATATTAACACCTGGAAGTAACGAATTTGACACAAAGCATTTAGAAGTTATTAATGTAGATGTGGACGCTGTCGAAGATGTGCAAGGATCATCTGGTTGACATGTCGAAGGTGTGCAAGGATCATTTGATTGACAAGCATTACCAATTATTTTGTTACATACTTCTAATTTGCCTTGAAGAGAACCATCTACGTATCCTTCCGCTACCGTCGACGACCGCCAGCCCCCATGACGTTTAAGACTCAAAAGGTCTGCTCCAGCATTAGCAAGTAGCGTTGCGGAGGTACGCCGAAAACAATGACTCGTAAAACTAGAAGCATTTGGCAATTTCAGGTAACTCGCAATTTTCTTAGGAATTGCTCCAAATGTATTAATACCCACAGGTTGTACGGTACATTTTCCCATTTTATAATTTAAAAAAAGTCGCGAAGTTTGAGCATTTTGAGGACGAAGCGCTTTATATTTCTGGTACAAGTGTATCCAATTCTCTTTTCCCTCCGTAACAGAAAAAGTTCTTGGAACATGCGTTTTGGAGTCTGGAATCGTTACGAGTAAAAACGTATCTTCGCCTTGGATATCGTTCACCGTCATTTTCGTCAACTCCTCTCGACGACAAGCCCCAGCAACTCCTAATATTAGAGCAACCTACAAATAAATTTCATTATTTGTGTGACATATAACAAATGTATAGACATGAAAAAATAGTAGGTAAGTATAGGTGCTTACTTTCATCATTAAAAATGTTTCATCGGGTGCTTCCTCTAAAAACGTTCTGATTTGTTGTCTCGTAAAAGTCAGCGATTTTTTCGGCTTGTGACCAACAGATTTACGTTTCAAAAACGATTGTAACTTGGCATACTTGGAAATGTCGACGTTGTCTTGCAAAATCAACATACTTTTCAACATGGAATACATTGACCACAGTGTCGATGATTTCAATTTTCCAGATTTTTCGACAAAATAGGCAAGCAACACGGTTTCTGTATACCGCTTGACTTGTTTCATTTTACACCAATTAAAAAACCTCTCTCGTTCTTTTTCGTACCGATTTCTCGATTTTTCAGGCAAAAGCTCAGGCATAATTGATTCCGCCATTGCAGCAACCTCAGGCGGAGTGCACATAAATTCATCGCCGCTCTCACTTTCTTCATGAACACTCATTTTCAGCTTTTAAATTCTTGTTTTACTGAAGAAATTGCTTCGTACAAAACTACATGCAAAATTACTAACCGGCTTTTTTATAAACAACTCGTTGGTAACTAAGACAACGTAGCGGCGTCACGAAGACTTGATTTTATATTTTTACAGATAAACACGAGAATCGTACTACGACTTGATTTATACAGAAATTGTTGTTTTAACATTTTGATATAAAATTTTTCTCTTAATCTTTAAATTCGAGAACTTTCGTAGAAAAAATAGTATGTAATACACTTGCGGAAAGGATTATTGAAAAACTTGTATGATTGGAGCACTCGCTAACGCTCGTGCTCCAACTTTCATACGCGTTTTTCAATAAAGCCCTTTCCGCACTTGTATTACAATATACTATTATACATAATTGATAATAATCAAGGTGTCGAAAACATATCACTTGTTTCCACAAGTTTGCATAAAGCCCGATTCACATTTGGCGTTTCCCTCATGGAACTCACACCATCTTCCACGGTTTTTCGCGTTGCGGATATTTTGAAGGAAACGAGAGCGAACCGTTGTGTTATGTGTGTATAATACCAATCGACAGACAACGTTAGGTTTTTGTGTTATAGCAAGCATTTGCACGATGAATAAACAATATTCGCCATTTTTAAAAAGTTCAAATATTTTAATAACAAAGAGAGCTATCGAAAATAGTTTCAAATAAAAGTTGTAAGATTCGATTCGTTTCTGAGATATTGACATGAACTTCCTTATTTTAAATGGACGCCATATTGGATTTTTATGTAATTCGATAGAGAAAACAATTACAAAATCAGCGATACTAAACACTCAGTATTTCATTTGGTAATCCACCTTGCATTTTTGTCTCGAAGTTTACAATGTATTTCTTATGGTAATAATTCCATGGCCCTGTCGATGACGACTATGCGAGACAATAAACGAACGAATCATAATCAGCCATGGAATTATTGCCATAAGAAATCCAATGTAAACTTCGAGGCAAAAATGCGAGGTTGATTCCCAAATGAAATACTAAGTGTTATTGATTTTGTAAATGTTTCTTCTATCGAGTGACTTAAAAATCCAATAAGGCGTCCATTTAAAATAAGGAAGTCAATATCTCAAAAAGCGCCATTTTTAAAAAATAATTTACTGCCGTGACTGTCCTATAAGGAAATGATATACAGTGATATTCGTGTAGAAGTAGACATAGGGATTTCCTATAGGAATTTCGTATGTCTATTTTTACACGATAAAAAGTCTCCTGAAAGACGCCTAATTTTATGCAACCACAAAAAGTTGATATTTCCAATTGGTAGAGTGCCGATAACAGTTAAAGGAGCTTAAGAGATTTATTTTCTGTGAGGCTAAAGCAACAATATTCAAATTAATAGATAATATGACAGCCAGATCTTTATTTGTTTCAAGAAGTTATTTTGGTTGCATAAAATTAGGCGTCCTTCAGAAGACTTTATCATTTGAAAGTAGACATAGGAAATTCCTATAGGAAATCCCTATGTCTACTTCTACATGAATATCACTGTATATGGTATCTTATGAGGTAGCGTTAGTCACGCCTCGCAGGGATTTCGTAAGGAAATAAGGAGACGAGAGTGATATGATTCATGGTGGGTGCAACATACAATACTACCAAGCCATTCTGATGAATACTCGTAATGCCACTGGAATCTGTCATTTTAGATACTATGCTGTTACAAAACTTTTTGAAGTGTTCAATTTTGTTTGGAACCAAACTTTTACATTTTAAGAAATACCCAAACGCTTTCCTGGAGAAGTCGTCAACGATTGCCAATGAGGTGTTCCCAACAGTAATCATAGCTACAGCTGTGCAGTGGTTGGTTAAATGACTCAGTGAAAGGATCCTCATCGGTTTAAGGTTATTTGGTAGACAAGCCGTGTTTTTCTATAGGGAGCCGAAGTATCGACTACCCCTATATCCACTGCTCGAACTCACTTTATATGGCCCTTGCACCAGTAAGACGTCGATGTCATTGTCAGAAGAGAACCTCAAAGCCTCAAGGGTCGCAACTCGAGAACTTTGGAGATTCACTTACGCAAACCTGAGGCAGGACTTGCTGTCATAACTACCTACGCAGTGACCGCATTGAGTTCACTACGGCAGTCGGAAGAGTTATGGCCGAATTATTGGCACTTAAAGCACCGCACTATCCGGATATGGTTTTGTACACGGCATGCGAAGTATACACATCGGCTAACCAAGAGATGCTTGCGCACCGTCGCACTGGAGCGACACGTATTCCATTCGCGCGAGCCAAACAGGCTGATGCGCACGCCGCGCCGCCACGATGTGAGTGCGCGCTGCGGAATAAATTTGAATGAACCAACGAGCGTCCAGCTACCCCTGTCGAGCAATGCAATTGCATTTTACATTAACGGTAATTATTTTCAGATATTTTTCCATCGGCAGAAATTTCATTTCAACGTCATACGAGCACCTATTCTAAAATGATAGGAAATATAATTGAATCGGCGGAGTAACCGCGACATTCCTCACAATAATTCTAATATAACAGTTGCATGATACGCAATAACTTTTATATTTATGTCACTCCTTAAATGTGCTCACATGCAACTTTCAAGGCAATATTTTAGATCCTCAAACAGATTATAGCTTTTCATCACCTTCGTGGTGACTTTTTTCAATATTGATACAAATCTTTTATTCACAAAGTAGCAATTTTATTCTGCTGTTTCAACTGAAATAAAATTTCGAGCGACTATGTTTCTCATTATCGAAATGGGCTAGACGTTTCTGCGTTATGAGATAAAAAAAAATGCACGCTCATACCTCTGGAAACGTTCAAAAATAGTCGGCATCTACTTTATATTACAATATTGATCAAACATTCCGCATGACTAACCGAGAATAAAAAATAATCATTACAATTTCATCAAAATACGTTTCGTCTTCTTTTCATAGCGACGGTTTCGAATAGATTTAGCGTTCGAAATTGATGTGAAGTGCCTTTGGAGAGGCTAAACACCTTTGAAAGATAAGCATAGTTAATACAATCACCCTTTTAACGAGTGCTCGGCCTTATAAAGGATTTCTGTTAGCCCCATTATGTAACAAATTGCGTGCGTTGTTGAATGCGTTCGGATCAACTTCGCTGCTTTCAGATAGTGTGTAAGGGTGAGATGCTCGTTCGAGCGAGAAACAACTGAGGCCCACAACTTTTCTAAGCTTTATTTAACTAGAAATTTTGTTGGGGGAGAATGTATTTATTGTTCAAACCGACATTAATATCACATTATTAATATTAAATTGTTGCGATAATCTTTGTCATCAACCCTCTTCTGGGCAATGTATACTTTTCAAGTCAAAATAGGAAAAAAATTTTCATTTCAACTGTCTGCAGTTTAAAACCATTAGACTCATCAAATAACTCTTTAAAAAATGAAACGGAAAAGTGAACCTTAAAGGAGTGAAATACAGATATTGTTCTTCTTCCAAATCTTAAGTGATCGATATGTGTACCAAAATGTCACCAAATTACCAAATGTCAATAATAGCACTCTACTAGGGCTTTATTGCTTAAAGATCTATTTACGTGAATTGAGTGAGTAACCAATTATGCCTAACTCACATGGGGCAGATTTTTTCGGTGGCCGGAAGCATAGTAAGTTGTATAATCAATGCCAAAAGGATAAGCTTCGTCAACCCTTGCTTTTCGTAAAGATGCTCTAGAGCTTCAATGCACGGATTAATTACGTGTGGCAGTTGATCCAGTAGCACTGGAATTCGCTTGAAGGTTTTTTTTTTGGAGTCACTTTTACGAGCGAAAAACTTTACTTTCTCACCTAATAAAATATTCTTTTCTCTAATTTTTTTGTATTCTCAAATAACTTCATTTTGAAAAAAATTGCTTGGCCATATTTTCAGACTGAAAATTCTAATCTATTGCTGCTGAATTCCGTGGCAATTGTCTTGGTTTTGTTACTCTTCATTGCCCAAAAATGAGCGCTGGTTTGAGATATTCTCCAAGGTTTAATATTACAAAAAATGATGGTTGATGGCCCTGCTTACAACCTACAAAGAGTAAAATGCATTTTAAGGACAATTCATAACTCTCGCGCCCCCCTAAAGCTTCCTCTTCTATTTAACACATTTTCTTGTCTTGTTCCATCTTCGATTCCACTCTTACATCTTTACTTAAAATACGCACAATTCTCTTATCTAAACGCGCACCTGCGACAAGATCTGTTTACAACATTATATAGCGATCAGCGCAACTGTTATTGTTACGATAGACAATTGCAAAATTAAATAACACTACATACACCTAATACAATATTCTAACAATTGTGCCTTATTTTTCCAAGAAAACGGACAAATTAGAATGCGGATATTTAAAAAAAATTAGACTTAGTCTAAACTACGTACATTAACACAACATTATCTAACTCAAGAAGTTGATTAGTCAAGATTTATGGTTTGTGTATTTTCGCGAACGAAATTAAACCCAGCATAATTATTAGTAGTTCGTTCTGGTCGCCATATTGGGGCTAAAATGCTATAGGTAGTTTAGTATGAGTTTACACTTTTTTGTGTTCTTGCGAAAATCTGTGAATAAAGGCCCTGATTAAGGTGTAAAATGTATATTATGGACATATGACATATCCAAATACAGTTACTGTAGATAGGTACTTACATATTTAGTGCATACGTACCACGTACCATAAAAGTAAGATTTTACAAAATAACATGGACAGATTATCTTTAAGTATGTAAGTATCACAGAATTCAGTTAGACTTTTCTACCTAGTTACATTGCCAGGTACATTTTATGATTTTTTAGCTGCAGAATGGTAAAGAAAATCCTTAAAATACGCATAATTATGTTTCGTGATTAGAAGATAGAGAAGGAAGGTCATTATTATCTGTCATGCCTTCGTGGTGTCTTGTATATGCTCTACACCATTTTTTTAGATAGTATGGCGAGACCACGCGAGACCAAACGAGACGAGACGAGACTAAACTAGGGCGAGACGAGACTTTGAGTTGGCCTCGTCTTGAGGTCACGAAACGAGACGAGACCTTCGAAACTCTCGGCTCGTCTCGTCTCGCGGCAACACTAATCACGATCGATTTATAAAAGTCGCCGGAACGAATCAGCGCTCCCTTGTTGACGAGATGCCGGTCGACATACAAAAGGCGACCTTTTAAATAAATTCATAAATTACTTCGGCAATGATACCTTCAGTTTTCGAACTACGCGATGCAGGAATAACTCGGTAGTACCTACGAA